TCCCACCCATTAATGTTAAGGAGAAAACGCTAACGATTTAGAGGGGAGCACGTCCGGGTGCAAAGGTAGTACGGAGAGCAGCTCCCACTTCGGCACCCAGCCAGAATGCATCCCAGAGAGCACCGCCAATACCCACACAGTCTAGGCCTTCTGAACCTGTTTATTATCATGATTACAGCTCTTCGACGCGCCATATCGATCTTTCCTCATTGCGCTCTCGATACGGGGAGTCCTCACCTACTTACCGCCCCTATCGTTCCTCCCCGCCTTTTGAGGGCGTTGGCGAGAGCTCTATGAGCAGTCCCCGGATTCCCTCAAGCCCTCAGGTATATTTACCAGAAGCGCAACCAAGAGTCTACGATATTGCACAGCTTTCGTCGTCTATTAGGGAAGGAAATGCTCCTATAGCAGAAAGCGAGGTTAGTAGTATTCCCGATAGCACTGACGACCGCTTTGAGAGCACTGTTAACATTCATGCGAGCAACCTATCTCAGAGATCCTTGTTACCTAGCTCGAGGAGTGCAAACGTTCTCTCAATGCAGGCTCAGAGGATTGAGAAGGAGTGCAGCACGCTAATCGGGGACCACACTCCTCTACATGAGCCTTTTCCACCTGCAGCGAGGCTTTCGGTACTGGTAGTGAACATGTGGGCAGCTGCCAGTCGCAGGGTGGGATGTGCGGTAGATCTGGACGAGGTCGTTATCAAACAGGTGAATGCCCTTGAAACGTTGACGAGTGCTCTGGAAGCGTAATTGACAACGATAGGTCAGAAGTCTACACTCCCGAGTCCGTTCGCACTTGATGCACGAGGTTAAAGGGCGCCTGGCGGATTCGACCATCTATGGGCTTGGAAAGCTCTCGAGTCCTGAGGCGAGGGCTGCTCAAGTAGAGTATCTTTTAAAGAATGATCGCTTCTTGAGCCCTGCGCAGCATTACGAGGTATGATCAATCCCTAGAGAGCACCCGGGGGTGCTAAGAGAGCACTCGGGTGTCAATGACCAGAGAGCACTCGGGTGTCAATGCTCGGAGAGCACCCGGACACCCGGAATGCTTGGAGAGCACTCGCGAACGCTGCTAACAGATACTAGACCTACCGTCTACGGTTTCTTGCGCCAGAGATTATCGACATATTGTACTATAAATACTTTGATGGGGTCAGGATGCGAGGGGTAAAAGACCCCGAGTTCCTAGAGCGGATTACCCCTACATTTATTTGCCTGATATCCACTGCAATTTGGCATGGCATTCGGGCATGGTCAACGGGAACATACGTGAAGCCTGACCATTTCCAGTCACAGAATGAGAGTGTTGTCAGTAAGCATCCCTGATCCCCTTACAGCTATAGCGAGTGCTTTGAGAGCAGTAACAGATGCTCCCAGAGCTATAGTGGATTCGCGCGCTGACATTGCACACGAGTAGAAACGTTCAATAGGATGAGCAACACATGGAAGGGGAGGAGTAGGCAGAATCAGGAGGCAACGTTGGAGGTGATCAAGGATAACCTCCGGGAGAAGGTATGCTATAGATGGGTGCTACAATGGCGGAGCGCTCTTCTGCATACGGAGGCTAACCTTGATAGATACGAGAGAAGAAGGGTATCACTATTGAGGTGATACCGGAAGATGGATTTAGCGAGGACGACGAAGCGTTAGCGGCGGATCTTGCGGCATTCCGGAATGCTCGGAGAGCACCCCCGAGTGCTCCAGGGGATATCTCCGACAACGGTGGCGGCCAGGAAGAGGTGGTTCAGGCTCAACTTCGGGGCATTGAAGCGGAAGAGGAAGGCGAGGAGGATGAAGATGAGGATCGCGAGGGAGGGGAGGAGGAAAAGGATCTCTAGGGCACCGGCGAGTGCTTTGGAGCGCAATGGCGAGTGCTTTGGAGAGCAGCGGCGAGTGCTTTGGAGAGATACCTATATACCTGTATTATATTCGATTGGCGATTTCAAGACGCTTGTAGTGTTAGTATTTAGTAATAGAATCACGGTTTTGGATGCTCTGCAAAGCAGTGCCTACTAAAGCAAAGAGTAGTATGCCTGGTAAAAACATGGCGCTGAAAGGTAAAATGCGGTGCGTCGGGCGCCGCTGGAGCAGTCGGGAGTGCTCCAGAAGCATTAGTGATATGCCCAGGAGTCGTTAGAGAGGTTCAGGAGCGGACAAAACGCTTCCTGAGGCGTCGCGAGAGCTCCAGGAGCGTCCAGGAGATAGGTAGTAGTCTCAGGCGAGAGAACATTCCGTCGAGAGAGCGTCAGGCGAGAGAGCATTGCGTCGGGGTAAGCGTATCACTGTCGGGGCGCGTTGGGAGGGCTAGTGCGCGCCAGGGCGCGCGAGTAGCCTAGTGCGCGCCAGGGCGGAATGCTAAGCGCCAGGGAGCGCCAGGAACGCTCTGCTGCTTCTCTGGAGAGGCAGTTTGTCTACCGAGCGCCCTGGGCGCCTCGAGCGTCCAGAGCGTCTGGCGGAGGTTGCGGGTTTGCTGATGATGTGGGAGAGCGATTTGGGAAGAGGCGTGAGTAGGTAGCCTTGCCGTCGGAGACCTATGAGCAGCCGACACTAATGATTATCCATCAGACGGCCGATGGAGAGGAAACATCGACAGGGAAACATGCATTAGAATGGGTAAATAGGTTGAGGAGTTTCAGCGGGCTTAGGAGTTTGGGTTACGGGCTTAAGAGTTAAATGTTCTTGGTTGTTTTCAAGGTCTCGTACAGGTTCCGATTGTATTCTGTATTATTAGTAGACGGGGTCCTCGAGATATATGCGAGAGACATAAATACGGTGTCATTCACTGACTAGCTAAACCATCATCGGCAAAATCAGAGTCTTAATAATATAAATTGTTGATACCCAAGTTACAACTCTATTTGACTTTACAATTCTATATACTCTACTCTATAGTGACTTCATACTCTACCTGGACTATTATGTCGAAGAAGGTTGATTACCATCCGCTAACTCTAGTGAATCTTTATTGATAAAGTAGCTCGCGGGGCCCATATCAGACTCAGGAGATTCCTACTCAACGTTGACTTTGGAGACTTTGGAGACTTCTACCTTTGTAGTTGTTAACCGAACTCTGATCTCTGAGTAGTGTACTCTTGTAGCCTGGCACGCATCCCTCACACATTGCTCCCATGAGTAGATCCCCTTCCAACACCCAGAATGTAGTTATTCTAACAGCTGGTAGCTAACCATACTGACAGTACTCACATATCACTGTGCTACTGGCTTCTAACAATAACTCTCAGCATGTAACCGGGCCCTGTGTGTACTCATACACCAGACAGTTGAAATAGCTCCATTACACCGTTAGTCTCCTATTATCTTAGCTAGAGCGAGTCTCCTAGAATAGACATCATCATGCCCTCTGATTTGTTTTGCTTACACTAAGCGAGAATGAATCAGAACACTACGTGTAGCCTACAACGTCAAAGGAAGGAGAGCATTATGTTCGCTGGAAAAATCTAAATCAAAAAATTGATGAACATGTCTGTATCACTTTCTTCAACAACCTGCGACAACAACCATCTAGAACTCCAGAGTTGAAAGGAGCCCGCATTGAAAAGCTCTTCCACTTGTCTAACGGCCTTAATTCTCCGTAGGAATCTTTTCTTATCTAAATAGCGAGGCATGGCGATTGACAGGTCTTGATACAGGAAACATCGGGCAAAAAAAAACACTTCAACAGTTACTACAACAGGTGCGGACCTTCCTCTTTTGAAAGTTCTACTCTCAACCGCCCTCAGAACGAGTTGGGCCAGTTGAAGTCAGGAGGTTTTCTTCAACCGCACCCTAAAAACCTCAACCTCAACCTCAACCGCCACTTCAACCGATTTTGATTACCATTATTCTACTGTGCAAAATCTAAACCCTCTTAATTAGCAATCATGACCTCAAAGCTGCATACACCGTGACAACGACAGCCACCTTTGCCTGTATGTACTAGATCCTTTTGCCCGCCCGAACTGGGTCAATGCCCAGGATAGAATCATGTGATATCACTCGGCCCCTTGGCGCCGAGATTTTCGCTGAGATAAGCTACAGGCGTAGAGTATTTACAACATTCTTATTTTACTCTTTAAAAACACCTATCCATATATAACTTTCAAATAGATAGCTATGAAAATCTCTGAAAGGAAAGTGCCTTCGTCTTTACAGATTTTGTGGTGGGGATCGGGTGCACTACCATATACATACCACATGTACCTACATGTATGTAGTTTAGCCCGAAGAATACCGCTATCCTTGTCCCCTAAGCTCCCGGAGCCTTCCCAGAACTTGACTTTTCGCAAAAATCACAAGCAAATCTAGATGTAGCTTGATTGTCATTGCCCGCCCACCCGAAGACCACTACCAGTGGCAGTGTGTACCTACATTTAACCTGAGTATGTATGTACTAGTCGGATGCGTACTAACCGGCCAGCTGCTACACACATGTGGCTCTTTTTTTTTGCCTTGTTTTTCGTTCGGTTTTCCGTTTTTTTTTCGCTACAAAAATTTTTCCTTTAGACCCTCCTCATTGCAAGTTCGGAATTCCTTTTGCCGATCCCTCCACGATCGATAAAACAGATTCTTTCCGCTCACACGACTGTCACTTCACCCCATCCTCCACCATCTTCCAACTCTGCAATCCAAGTAGAGTTGTCCCGCGTCTCTTACTTAGGTATATACTTCGTATACTAAGTCTTTACAACAAGGTCGGCTGAAATTATTATCTTACCTCGAAGGAGTTAGTAGAAGGAAAGAAGGAAGGAAAGAAGGAAGGAAGGAGGAAGGAAGGAAGGAAGGAAGGAAGGAAGAAAGAAGGAAGGAAGGAAGGAAAGGGAAGAAGGAAGGAGAGAAGGAAAGAAAGAACGAACAGGGGAAGGAAACAGGAAGAGAAAACAAGCACAAAACAAAAAGGGAGCACTGAGGGCAAAAAGTTTGAATAAACCAAAAAGAGAGGCAGCCGAAGCGAGAAAGGAGTCTTTTCTTCCCTAGTCCTAATCAGCATCCCCATCGAAAATGAAGGTTTTCGAATCCTCTTGCACTTTTGATTATCCCTGGGCCAACGTCTCCGTCGCAAATTGGAGGAAATACTGCGCATGGAACACCCAGAGCACCCATGTTGTTGCGGTTGATACACTATCAAGGAGTGTGGATCCTTCAACTGGTGTAGTGAGTTTTTACTACCCCAAAGCTTTAATTCAGTTACTGACTGGAAACCTCAAAATAGCTCCGGACCGAGCGACTGATCACATGCAAACAAAGCGCACCACGATGGCTGATGAAGTTCGTTGGCGGAACAGAGGAGTCATTTGTTCGTGAAGTATCAGAAGTCGATCCATCGAAACGCACAGTAACCCTCCGATCAACGAACTTAACCGGATCGAACTTTGTCTCGGTGCAAGAGACTGTGATCTACTCACCTGATCCCATTGCTCCCGAATCGAAGACTCTTTTCAGGCAAGATGCTCAGATAACCGCTTATGGCGCGTTTTCGAGGCTATGCGGTGCTATTGAAGATTGGTCGGTAGAGAGATTTGGTCAGAACGCGATGAAAGGCCGTTTGGGGTTCGAAGCGGTGTTGGAAATGTCTGCAAAGGCATTTCGAGAGATGAGGTCTGAGGAAGCCAAAATTTAGATGGGATGGGAGTGCTTTGCAATCAGGGGGAATCTCGAGGACGAATACCTCTCACCCTTTAGCATCCTCCTATTCTATAGACCTCAATTACACCTAGATCAACGAAGCATATATTCTGCATAGGGGAGGGTGGGGGTTTGGATCCTTTCATTTTTGTATTTTATTTACCACTGTTCCTTTTCTTTTGTATCGTGCTTTTGGAGTTTGGACAAAAGTTTTCTAGGTATGAGATTTACTGGCGCTGTTTTTGTTTTTCTTTTACGATATGAGCCTGGAATTCAAGAGATTTCTTTAATTCTATGGTTTGATCTTATTTCTCCTCCCCTACTTCCCTTAGACTTCTTTATGAACAACAGGTAGCCGCGGTGTGGGGTAAATATCAGCCATGTATCTAGATTTTTGCCTGGACATGATTAGATAATAGACATGAAAATTCCTTGTTTCTAATGATACTTCTAGAGGGTTGAAATATATCCTCTGATTCAAAGGTTTAGAGTTACATATCAAGCGCGAAATAAAGAATGTGACAGTCAATGGCTAGGAGGTTAAATTTGTAATGTAAGGTCACATGGCGGAATATGTGATGGGAAAGAAAATAATAGTAAAACCCAATCTAACCAAAACACCGTCTATCAAAAAAACATCTAAGGTTATACAACTAGTGGCACGTATCGTTTGAGAGTTGTTGTAGTTTCTTTTAATCATCTTTTCTCGCACTAGAGTTTCCTCGCTCTATAGCCCTTTTCTCCGCTATTTCTTCACTGGTACTTGTAGCAGTCGAATGCTCTCCAGTACCTTGAGCTGTAATTTTCTTAGCCCTTCTCTGAGATGTGGTACAGCAGCACATTGCAGAATGTAGTGTGAAGGTCAGGATGGCGAATGCAGACGCCATCCACATGAATATAAACATGCGAGTTCCGAGGTCCCCATGAATATTGAAGTCCGGCTGGTCCTCAAATACTTTTTGAAAAACAACGAAGAGAGCAGTTGAAATCGCAGCTGCAATGGTTGTGAAAAGTGCAGAACCGAGGGAAATGAGACCCGTCACAAGAGAGTTCCAGCGAGTGTAGATATCGATCCAACCTGTAAGGCCGCAGACAATTAAGTACTCTGTCTTAAGTATCATTCTCGAAGATAAGCTACGGCTGCGTGTGTGGTGAACTTACCTATTGCTAAAGTTATCACCGCTAAGCAGATACCAATAATATAAGATGCAAACATCCAATGACTCGCCATCTTTACAATGGCAAGTGCATCAGTTATTGTAGCTGGCATGGCAACTGGATTAGATAATATGGTTAGTAATGTTGATTAAGGACATCCTCAAGGCAGAATAGGACAAAAACTTACTTGTGGCCCCATCTAGAAGTTGTGATAGCAAAATCTCTACCGGATTAAAGGAGTACATGGCTTTGGGTGGCGAGCAATAAGTCACTCCTTGGCCATTGTAACCTTCGCAATAATTCCATAATCCGACTTGATAGAAGTCTCGAAGACCTAAACTTTGGGCAATTGAGTTGACAAGTACTGCATTTGGTATTGATCGTGGGATAACATTGGAAACATCAATCCGAAGGAAGTACATGTCATCAAGTATCCGGACATCTCGAATGTTGCCAATTAAAACCAGGATTGAGAAGACTATTGAGACGAAGGTACAAAATTCCGCTATTGTTGTGACCCGTTTTCTGTGTAGGGTGGTGTTTTTGAAAGACAACTGAGGGCCCTCTCCTTTTTGACGACCAAACATCGTTTTATAATAATGATGATAATGACAATGAGGGTATATTTATTTATTGTGAAGGGTGGGAAGAACTCCGAAGAAATATCTGTCAGAACAGGGTGTGTTGGAGAGTGTGGTCGTAAAAGGGAACTCTCAGCACATAAATGCATGTATTTTATTTGACCAACGGACCCTGGAAAAAATGAGTCTCCCTAGATACATATACATGAAAGCGTTCCAGCGGGTTTAAAACAAGTAAAGAGCCGTCACAAGAAATGATAATCTTGGGATATAGATGGGCTGTGCTTGAGTAAAAAGTGATCCCAGCTAGTGTGAAGCTTCCGCGCGTAATGAAGAACCTATGATGTGCTCAAAAGTGAATTATGGACTCACTAATTGCCGTAAACGTCCATAAGTAATCGCCGTGACGTTGACGGACGGTGTTGGACCTCCTGTCGGACAGGGAGGATTATTACCAAGATCAACGATATGCAGGGGTGCCTGCAAGCTCTCGACGAACGACTTCTAGGGCCTGTAGATCCAAGCGTTCATGGCTATGCCTAGCTCAAGCACGGCAAAAACTCCGATGACTGGGTGGTGTACCTACATGTACATGAATAGGACGTAGTGGTTCCTTTTTCAAACGTCAGGAGTTGTACCTACTTTATACCTACATACATGTACTCTACTATACACACACAGGTACTATACATGTACCTACATGTACTCTGCCCCTCTAAATCAAGAAAATACCTTCTCTCGTATTATAGGGACCTCCATTTGGGCGACACATGTAACTACAGGTATGTATTTCTCCCCCCATGCCAATTAGAGAATCAATAAGCTCCAAGTCAAAGTGCACCATTAACCCGGGTAGGACGGCCTGTGCTGAGGTCTTGAATCGTCCCTTCTATCCACCTATCCTTCCTTCATTACACACATATATCCAGTGGGTCCCTCTCTCGGCCTTTTGAAAATTACACCAGCCCTCCAGGATATTATCCTAAGAATAAGCATAAGCGGTGGAATAAAAACAACAAGAACAAGAAAAACAAGAACAAGGACAAGAACAAGAACAAGAAGAAGAAGAAGAAGAAGAAGAAGAAGGAGGAGGAGGAGGAGGGGCACAATCATATCATCAAAATGCTTAAGTCATGGCTGCTCATTTGCTGCCACGGCTTTTTGACTGCCCTTGCCCAAGGCAGCTTGGAAGCCACAGCTACAGATTATTCTTTCTCAACAAGCTTATTAACAACAAAAACGGCGGCGACGGGCCGTGCAACTACACCAGCGAGCAGTACTTTCCTAGACACTTCCGCATCAGAAACACTACTTCGTGGTACTTATGATGGGAAAGATGAGACGACAACATCCTCTACAAGGTCAAATGGGACTTTGACGTTGGCGACCTCAACTTCGGCACTAGGAACATTAACAACAACTACACTTCCCACAAATACCCAACCTTGCAATCTTTATGTCGAATTTTGTACCCGCCTGTACAGTAACGTCACTTATATCGGAACCCACAACTCCCCATTTGTACGCCAAAGTAATGCGGCTGCCAATCAGGAGTTGGACGTGGAGACACAACTCAACGACGGAATTCGAATGCGTATGTTGTCCTAACGAGGCTATATAAAATTATTTTTATCAGCTTTAAATAGTTACTTACATTTCTCGGAATGTTAGTCCAGGGACAAACCCATATGGTCAACAATACCCTATATTATTGCCATACGAGGTGAAGAATTTTATCCTAAGCATTTTCAGATGAAGATTATTAATTTTCCCCTGTCAGCTGTGATATCCTTAACGCTGGAACGGTTGAAGACTACCTCACTAAGGTTGCAAAATGGATCAAACGAAATCCCTTTGAAGTTGTCACAATTCTTATAGGCAATGGAGACTTCGTCGACATTGGCAATTATACTGATCCTCTGGTCAATTCTGGGCTGGCAGATATTGCATACGTGCCACCAAAACGAAACATTAGGTACAATCAGTGGCCAACTCTCTCAGAGTTGATTTTGACAGGTAGTTCCATGACGTGAACCTTAAGTAAATATTTCAATTTTCTTGGTAGAGTGAGCTAACACGCGGCACTCGAAGGTAAACGCGCTATCGTATTTATGGATTACAAAGCAGACGAGGGTATCGTTCCGTATATTTTGGACGAATTCAGTTACATGTGGGAGACGCCATTTTCTCAAACCGACGCAGCGTTCCCTTGCACTATCGAAAGGCCTCCAGACCAGCCTAGAAACGACACCGAGGGAAAGCTTTACATGGCGAATCACAACCTCAATGTCGAGTTTTCTTTCGCTGGTCAATCATTGTTAGTGCCAAACACTGTGGCTATTAATTCTACGAACGCAGTAGACGGGCCAGGGTCCTTGGGCTTACAGGCGAATCAATGCAGAGGTTCGATAAGTACATCGTTTCCATTGTCTAGAAAGACTGTCTAATGTATAACAGGGCTTTGGGAACGCTACCCAAATTTTTTACTAGTCGATTTCTATGAGGCGGGAAATGGATCTGTATTCGAGGTTGCGGCAATGGCAAATAATGTGACTTATGTCAACACGTGTTGCGGAAAAAAAGATTCAGCCGCTTCTTCAGTTGATATACACATCGGTTTCGTGTGGTCAACAGTTGTCATTAGTTTGCTAGTATCCCTCTAGTAGTAGACACATATTTAGGTTCGTCACATTCATAGTACCTCAAGCATTGGGGCATAAATTATTTCATTGCGTACGTTTTCTTTTCTTTTCTTGGTTTTTATAGGTGGGAAGGGTGGCTGTCAATTGTTGATAGACATGGAGATTAAGATTCTAAGACAAATTGATGGAGAGTGGCTATTTAAGCCGAATATATATACACCTTGATTTTTATTCCTCGTTTATATAATTGTTTGGACAGGGGTGGGTGAATGGATCTCGAAAACCTACAATATCATGCCATGGGACCACTCATAATCAAGACTCACTTAAAACTACATGAAGCTCCGTAGATAGGGTATTATTTAATTGCAGTTGTAGGCGCCTTCATATACAGAGAAGGTAAGATAGCATGCAGAGCACTATATCAAATTTATTCCTTCAACCTTGGTCGCCGCCATTGAAAGGTTTTCTCTCCGCAGAGGTCATCAACTCGTGAGAAAGAGATTCATACCATGAACCAATATTAAGATGTATCCCATGAGCTATTGGCGTTGAGAAAGACAAAAGTTGGGGAAAGTGGCGTTCTTATTGACTTTTGCACTTGTCTCAAAAACACAGGATACTTTACTATGCAAATCCCAAACCGTCACAGAGAAAGGTTGCCGTAGTCAGGGTATAGAGAGCTGGTGACTGCGACTTAATTCCCTATTCAATTTTTCCGGTTCTCCTTCCCGAATACACGAGAAACTGGTCCTAAAAACCTTTTCCAACTGAACATAACTGAACTCAAATTACCTCTTTTCCCAAGGTGGCACCTAAATTAAAATGTTACTTTCAAAGAATATATACATATTCAAGGCTTAATTACTTTTTTTGCTCAGTAAAGGAATCCGATGTGACCCTATAAGTACCTAGCCCAAGGGAAATCTATCTGGTGAATCTAGCTAGATATTTCCTCCAAATGATCGGTTCCCTTCATACAGGTAGGAGAGCCCAGCCTTGGGGAATGTCCACGGGTGAGGTTACCCCTTGTTTTAGTCGTAAGTTCCTCGATTCGGGCTCTCAATATCTCCTTCTCCTTCTGCCAAATGTTCTCCATCACTTCATAGTCGGACAATCGAGCCTGCATCGAGGAAAACAGCTCATCATAGCTACAAAGCTTTTGGTTGATAACCGCCATGCCTGTTTCCGCTGCGGTTCGGGCAGCACGTTCATTCTGAACATCAAGTTTCAACTGAGCGATTTGAAACTGAAGCCTGGGAATATCCTCGCTTGTCTGATCTTGCTGCTCACGGATTCTTTCGAGAGCCTCTTTTGTCTCAGACCGAAGTATCATCTCCTTTTGCATATTTGTGGCCATATCATTGTGAGAATTTCGAAGATTGATGTAGTGCAGAAGTAGTTGGTGAACGTCGGTTATGCGGGCCTTCATCCAACATATATTCTCCGCGAGTAATTGACCGGAATCATTACTATTGACGAATGTAGACGTAGTAGCACTTGGGTGTGTGTTTGGGTTCAGAGGCGCAATAATATCAGTGTCCATAGGTTCTGAAGGTACAAGATACTGCTGGCTCTTGGTTGGGGAAGAGCCCGACGTCATAGGGAACGGTTGTGGAGGTGAGTAGCACTCAGATTGAGACGTGGCTGTTCCTGACGTGGCCGCCTCGTGTGGATAATCCGAAAGCCGATCGGGGTCATGGTTGAAAGTAGGCCCTTGGCTTTTATTGCGAAGATTATCATGCGATGTGCTTGGGTTATTATCTTCATGATCGGAAAAATCTCCAAACAACTCCTCATCTAAGGCTGTATAATCAACCATGGTCCCGTCATCGGCAGCATGCATTATATACCCCTCAAGCGAGAATTCGAAGGAGTTGAGTAAGAATTCGAAGGAGTAGGGTAAGAATTCGAAGGAGTAGAAAATAAAAGTTTCCTGCGGGAGGTTGTATTCTGAAGTTCCACACATATATGTATCTAGCACCTCTAACGTACTTTACATCCCTTCGTGTGTTTTCACGACCGGGAGCTAGTAGGCAACATTTACTCGGTAGTAAACCTAGCCCTCACTCCGCGAACCTCTTTTCACCTTCTGTATCCACAGTCTGTAAGTAGCTAGATTTTCTAAGTATCACCACGCCGTCTTGGGCCTAGTGTCTCCGTTTTTGCTGCAACGAACGAAGGCCGCATCCTGGCAACCAGGACAGAAATAAAAAATTAGAGCATGTTCTGCTACCAAAATATTTCAAATTTTTGATCAAGCTCGTAAGCCACAATGGAGGTGAATAAATTTCAGAGCCCTAGTAATATACAATATTTGGGCTGGTGAACTTGGTGCTAAGTCTGGTGCTAGTGCGGTGAGAATTAAGTGATACGAGCTTGAATATTTTGGTCTGAGCAGAATATTGATATTGTGGCTCTAATAGGATGACAAATATCGTAAAAGGTGGTTGCTCGAACACTACCTTCAGAAAGAATCTCACATATTGTGCCAAGACGGCCGAATATCGTGATATTCGTTGCAACAGGACGCGGCCTTAGCAGTTCAGGTCAAAATCTGATAAGGTGAAATACACGTATTCACTTATCAGATTCTTACCTCAACTACATGACAGTTGCCCTCCACTTCATGTATGTATGTACATACCAAATGCCAAAAAAGCCACAAATCTGCTGTAATGAATGATTTTCTTTTGGAATATACAGGTTCATTATAACAGAGGGCAACTGATGTCTACTAGCGAGAATATCAAATCTGTCCCTTTTGATACGTCGTAGGTAGTACTAATGTCGACAGTTTTATGGGTCATGTGACCCGATATCTTGCTTAGCTTAGCTTCTCACAGAATATAGGTCACATGACCAATAAAATCTAGTGTCATCATACTCTAGAGCACTGTTCCTGTCTGATGGTTGTTTAGCCTTGGCGTCCCAAAGTAAACTATGCTAAATCCCTGCCTATCAGACAGGATCCGCCTTCACCCCGTGAGTGAGTGTTGGTGCAGCGTTCCTTGGCTGTAGGTTTAGTGCCAGATTTTATATCGGTATCCTGTGTGCTCGCGACGTAGGGAAACGCTCAGGTAGTGGGTACATACCTGCCCATGCCAGTGAGAGATAGAAAAGACAGCAGCAACTCCAGAAACATAACATAAGGCCCAACCAGTCAGACAGGGATTGCACAGCATACAGCCCTCTCTTCAGATCTACGGAGGAGTGAAGGTAAACTCGGGGAAAGGGCCTGGCAGTTGTTGCCAAAATACCAAGAGCAAGAAAATTAATAGTAACATCGGCCAGATAAATACAGCCTCTTCGTATTCAATCCTACGTACTCTATGGCACTGTCAACACCACGATGAACTCGCTCAGCCTACTTTCATCCCAAGTTGATAAAGTCATCGGCGGAACTCCTTCGTCAACCACCAGACCCGATTCATCAAAAGCTCTACGGCATGAGCATAACTCGAACCCTTTAGCTTCAACCGGCAAGAGGTCTTACTTAGCAAGACATGTTGTAGACGAAGCTGTTTTCTACGAGAATGATGAGGAGGACGACGAGGAGGACGATGAAGGGGATGACGAAGACGACGATGAAGATGACCGAGATACGGAGCAGGCAACACTGCTTTACAACAAAAGTTCGCAGACGCTGAATGACAGGATATACATGGCCCTGATTAGTTTAGGTGCTTTCCGGTGGTTTATTTCTACACTGGTTGCGTCAACCAACTGGCTCATATCCTGTGTTTATGATGAGCAGGGCATTTTCTCACCCTTCATGCCATTCCGGAGGCTTACTGGGCTCGGCATGAAACCTTTCGGAGCGTCCGATCATGCAAATCCTAATTTCAAACCCCCTGTTAAATCCCAACACTGGCCCACCGCCCGGGATGTAAACGACGAGAAAAGGGACCATGATCATTACCCCAATGACCCGATAGTTATATCAACTACGCCTACGCATCACTCTCGATCAAAATCCATCAGTCAAGATTCCAATCCTCTTCTTCAGGAGGAGATAGTACCGCAAAGATCAATAAGAATTCGTTTATATAACGATGATTTGACAAGCAAATCAAGGACTTCATCTGTAAAATCACCAACGTCACCTTCATCGAGTCTCAGACTCACAAAGTATCCCCGTAACTATGGACCGCCAAAACCTCTTCTACCCAGTCACCCCTCACCAAAAACATTGATATTGGACCTCGATGAGACTTTAATTCACTCACTGGCAAAAGGTGGACGGATGACTTCAGGCCACATGGTTGAGGTCAAACTCGACCGGCAACATGCAATTCTTTATTACGTCCATAAGCGGCCATACTGCGATGATTTTCTTCGAAAGGTATCATGTCGTTGGTTCAGTCATGATCCTTCTGTCTACCCTACCTTGTATTGACTTTTATTTGAATATAGGTTTGCAAATGGTATAATTTGGTTGTGTTTACAGCTTCTGTGCAAGAATACGCCGATCCTGTGATCGATTGGTTAGAACAGGATCGAAAGTATTTCAAAGGTAGATACTACCGTCAACATTGTACTCAGCGTAATGGTGCATATATCAAAGATCTTAGTGCCGTCGAGCCTGATCTTTCGAAGGTCATGATTATCGATAATTCACCCACAAGCTATTGTTTCCATGAAGGTTGGTGTTGGCACCCGGTTTTTCAAAGTGACTTTGGGGACTTCAAGGGAGTTTGGATACAAATAGCTTACTTTTTGGGATTACATTCTCACAAGATAACGCGATACCCATTGAAGGATGGATCAATGACCCAACCGATATAGATCTCCTACACCTAATACCTCTTTTGGAAGCCCTTCAGTATGCCACCGATGTGAGGGCACTTCTTGCGTTGCGGATGGGCGAAACATGTTAGTAAACGGGAACTATGTACTGTGATAAAAAGGCGATGGTTTTCCTGTCCTACTCAATTAGATTTCATGTTTGGTTTCTTTGTTTTAATAGGTCCGAAAGTCCAAGAAGTTTGTCTTTCAAATCGCATGTTACTACTTTGAATTTGCATATTCACTTAGCAAATATAATTCTGCGTGATATGGCGGATCTACTAGGCCCAGGTAAAACAGTATCGGGACCAGCAATCCTCTTGGTCCCCACGTCACCTCCCTGTGGTACATAAGCGTGGCGCTGAGCCTCGAAGCTGTTGCTCACGGCGTGGACGACTATTTTTGAGATAGAGCGGTTGGAATAAGTTCAAATTCTCCAAACGACCGTTGGAGTCTGTTGGTCCAGTGTTGGTTTAAACACATCCAAAGAAAGAAATAGTGACAGAACTAAATCTAACTAAACAGAAAGTAAGAACCAAACGGAGCGGGTTGTGGGGGCACTGTGTAATTTGGTAACAGTTTAGTACAGTCTCACCTGGATGTAGGGAACCCCGTGTTCAGAAATATTAGTTACAAGGAAATATATTGAGAATTGTCTTTCTCCCAACGAAAAATACCTCTGTATACGGAAAATTTGGCTTTAGTGTAGTGGATTCGAGTCTCTAATTTAACACCCCTGTCACCCTGGTAAACATAGAAATATTATTTGCTGTAAGGAATTTGCACTGTGCCAAAAGTAAAAATTTTATTTCTTGAGGTGGCTACTGACATCAGCAAGCTTACTGTAACGGGGGTCTCTTCTAAAAGAAAATAGAATAAGGTAGAATAGAGACGGCGATGCAAGATAAACAATCAGGTTGCAGATTATTCAAAGATACTATCGCTAGAACTCAATAATCTTTAAGGGCTCTGCTATCGATAAGAACTTGATATTTCTTTCTGATGAAGACTGGAGAGAATAGGACTGCAGGGCGAGAATGAGCCTGAGTACTTATACTCTGAAAGCCTCTATTCTCTGCTCCTAACTTCCTTACTAAGCTCTGGTGGAGCCTTTCTTCGGTCCGGAAACAATACCACCGCTACCCCACTTTTCTCTAAGCGTCAGCAGGTGTTTCCGATGCCCAAGGCAACCACCCTTAGTCAAAGCCTTTGTAACACCTGCAGGCTTAGTTGTCACACAACCGGGACCTACATGAATGAGCTGACGCTCAAATGTAAGCTTAATCATTGCTGTAGAGCTTTCGCTTATTGTAGACTTCCCTAACATAGTCACTGCCCCTTCGGCGGACATGCAATGCTCAGAGGATACAGAGGATCACCGGGCAATCAGAGCTTCACTCTGGCCGGTCTTCTAATCACTGGCGAGGCATAAACTCGTCAGTCCTTGCTCCCATGAATAGATCCCCTTCCTAGCGCCCGGAATGTAGTTACTCTAACAGCTGGTAGCTAACCACACTGCCGGTACTTGCATATCACCGTACAACTGGCTTTTAACAATAACTCTCAGCATGTAACCGGGCTGTTACGGGCATGCCAAGCATTTACAGGAGTGAGAGAAAGGCTAGTAGATACCCCCAATAGCCTCTAATACTAATGGCAACACCACTATCAACTCCGGTTCGCATCCACGAGGTGTGGTGCGATCGATATGCGACCAAATGCGGAGTTGCGGTTTTCCTAGTTAAAAAACACGTTTTCGACCCCAATAATAACCCCCGGAGCGTCAAACCGCCGGAGGGGAGTTCTTTAGTACCGGTAAATATATGAGGGACAGCTGGAATCAATCGAATCGAAGATCGGACCACTCGGAGCGAATCGGCGCAAGCTGCCAGCCGACCGAGTACCTATCGGCGGTACCTGTGGGCATGAGAGAACTCTGCTATTTGGGAAAGCGATGTGGGAAGAGGCCTGAGTAGGTAGCCTTGCCCTCCGAGACCTCCGAATAGCCGACGCTGACGATTATCCACCAGACGGCCGATGGAGAAGAAACATCGACAGGGAAACGTGCATTAGAATGGGTAAATAGGTTGAGGGGTTTCTGCGGGCTTAGGAGCTTGGGTTACGGACTTAGGAGTTAAATGTTCTTGGTTGTTTTTCGGGGTCTCGGACATGCCACGAGTGTATTCTGTATTATTAGACTGGGTCCTCGAGACATAAGCGAGGGATATAAATACTGTGTCATTCACTGACTAGCCAAACCATCATCGGCGAAATCAGAGTCTTAACAATATAAATCGTTGATACGCGAGTTACAACTTTACTTGACTACACTTTTGGAATTACTTTACTCTATCGTGACTTCGAACTCTACCTGAACTATTACGTCGAAGACGGTCGAATAATATATGCTAACTCTAGTGAATCTTTGTTGATAACGTAGCTCGCGGGGCCCGTATCGGATCAAGGAGAATCATACTCGACGTTGACTGAAGAGACCTTGGAGACTTCTACCTTTGTAGCTGTTAGCTGAACTCTGAGCTCTGCGTAGTGTACTCTTGTGGTCTGGTACGCATCCCTCACAGGAAGTCTACAGTAAGCGAAAGCTCTACAGCAATGATTAAGCTTACACCTGAGTGGTAGCTCATTCATGCAGGTCCTCGGTTGTGTGGCAACCAAGGCTGCAGGTGTTACAAAGGCTTTGACTAAGGGTGGTTGCCTTGGGTATCGGAAACACCTGCTGACGCTTAGAGAAAAGCGGGGTAGCGGTGGTATTGTTTCCGGTACTGAGGGAAGGCCCACCGGAAACTTAGTAAAGGAGTTAGGAGCAGAGAATAGAGGCCTTCGGAGTATAAGTACTCAGGTTCATTCTCGCCCTTCAGTCCTGTTCTCTCCAGTCTTCATCAGAAAGAAAACCAAGTTCTTATCGGTAGCAGAGCCCTTAAAGATTATTGAGTTCTAGCGATAGTATCTTTGAATAATCTGCAACCTGATTGTCTATCTTGCACGGCCGTCTCTATTCTACTTTATTCTATTTCTCTTAGAAGAGACCCCCGTTACAGATAATCTTTAAGGCTCAAGTCACCTTCAGATTATTCTTCCTCTATACAAAAATGTCCGCCCTCTCGGCACCAGATGCACCCCTTCAGATTGAATGGCAGCCGGTGCCCCTTCAGCTTGATGCCACCGGGCAGACACAGCTTGTCAAGAAGCCCAGGACCGCTCTACAGACCTACATCCCCGGTTGTGAGCCTGCCTGGCAGGATACGGACGAAGTTTCCATCCAACAGTTCTTCACAGAGCTCCAGACCTACCTCCAGCACAGTCTGCAGAATCAGTTGACCCGGGGCGGTCAGGCACTACTCCTTGTACAAGAGCGTCAGGCAGCACAGAATGCTCTGATGGCAGAAGCTCTTGAATACATGAGGCATGAAGTCAACTCTGTCCAGGAAGAACTCCGAAAGTATGCGGAGAGAGATGAACTGGAAGCCGATGCCATGGAGATTGAGTGGACAAATCCGGCAACTCCACCAGACTTTGTTGCCGAGATACAGAAAGCCCTTGATGAAGGAAGGCTAGTGGTAGGGAGACCAGCAACTCCGGCACCAAATCCAGGCTCCAGGTCCTCTTCCAGAGCAGCTACCAGAACAATGCAGCGGAAGACCAGTCCCTTCGCAGCATTTCCGGTCAGATCCACTAGGAGAGTTGTTCCTATTGTCCAGCCAGCGGTGGGAGCATCTCCCTTACCTCCTAGCCGCTTTGCAGGAATAAACCCATTCCTTGGATTAGCCGACCGATCCTTTGACTATGAGGGAGAACTCTATCCAGGTGCAGGCCGAGGACCTCCCAGCCCGCTAGCCAGGAACTCAGGAAGGTTCACCATGTCTGGGGCCGCTCAACCAGGAGCAACCTCTCCACTGGCCAGCAACCCGGCACCAGTAGTACCTGTGGCCCCTTCTGCTGCGGCCGCTGCTCCCCCTCCAGCCAATGCGCAGGGTGGAAGCGGTGGGAACCAGAACCCTCCAGCCAATGCGCAGGGTGGAAGCGGTGGGAATCAGAACCCTCCACCTCCTGCGGCCCGTGCCCCTGCTCCTGGAGATTCAGACAGTTCTGACAGCTCGGACTCGGAACCAGAAGGTGGTGATAGAAGAAGCTGGCGGAGATACCTTAAGAAGAAGTTGGGGAAGCAACAAAGGGATTTGTTTGCTATGATGTCCCAGCACTATCAACCTCCGGCCACCTCTCACCCTTCTACTTCCACCAGAGCTCGAGAACCAAAGGCACCACCACCCTCCAAGTTTCAGGGCAAGGCGGAGCAAGTGGAGACCTTCATTCGGCAATGTGAGAATGTGTTCTCCATCGAGGGTCTGTCATTCACCTCTGAGGAGGTCAAGATCCGATATGCAGGCAACTTGATGGAAGGAGAGGCAGCGATCCGATGGTATGAGGCATACCACAATTCAATTAATCAAGCCTCCGCCAACCGCCTTGCGGGAATGCCGGTGGCTTTGGATCTGAGATGGAAGCGCTGGGATTCCTTTGTGGATGCTTTTAGAGCAGCCTTCGGTGAAGCCATCTCTCGAGATGATGCTGTAGCCCAATGGAATACCCTCACCCACACAGCTCGAGGAGGAATAGACCTCTTCCTGAATACTATCATTCAGTTGATGTGGAAGACTGGCTATGAGGGTCAGTTGGTGGATGATAAGATTCATAATTCCCTCCTCCCGGACCTAGGCATGAGTTGGGCTCTTTTTAATCCCAAGCCAAAGTCCTTGATGGAGCGGATAGCTGCTCTAAGAGAGTGAGGGCACACCCATGAGAGGTACCAAGGGATGGCAGCTGAGAAAGCGCACCCTCGGACCAAGAAGGATCCTCCCGCTCAGAAGGACCAGCAGCCTAAGAGGAAAAGAGAAGCTGCGAGCTCCTCCGGACCTCAGAAGACTCCTGGACCTAAAGACAAAGCGGTGGAACTGAAGGGTATCCCGGGGGATATTCTAGAAGAAAGAAGGAAAGCAGAAGTATGCTTGAAGGTATGACCTTCCGGTACTCCCTATTGGTAGAGTGCATAGACTGACTTGTGCAATAGTGCGGCAAGTCCAGACACAAATGGACCGATTGTTGGTCAAGAGAACCTACTGTTGTCCGCGTGGCAGCAGTGAGAGTACAAAAGCGAAAAAGAGGGAATGGCAAGTCCAGCTCTCAGAAGAAGGCTAAAGTGGCTGCTGTAGTAGCAGAGGATCCGCTTGTTGTACTCCCGGAGGTTACAGAAGATTTTGTTTTGCAGCCTGAGCAAGACTCGGACAATGAAATCCTCTGGTAGAAAAGTGTCTGTTTGAGTCTATGTTTACTAGTTTTCTTTTATATGGGGGTTTTCGGTTTCTATGTTTTCTCTTGAATAAATTATGATTGTGTTTCCGCCTATTTGATTGCTCCAAGCACTCTGAGGATGGGTTTAAGACCCGAAACAGCTGGTCTGTCAGTGCTCTACCAAAGTTATATTTGCTACCAAGACACTTCCAAACCGCTGATAAAAAGGACTACTACACAATACATCTGCTATATTACCGCTTGGGAATAGAACCAAAGGATCTCTGATCTTAGTAGTGCCCGAAGCTATTAGCTATGTTGAAAAGACAAAGAGAAACAAGTTCGGAACCCGCTGTTAAGCAAAGAAGGTTGGAACAGAGACTTCCCTCCTTACCAGTACATGGAAAAAGACCTATACTGAAGGCAGGACTGTCATGGACGGTCAAAGGAAAGGATGAAGGCGCCCAAGGGTCTTTCCTGTTTGATACCGGTTGTACAGGAGCTATCCTCAACCAGAGTTTTGTCAGGAAACATGGAATCCCCTTAGTGCGGCCGGATCAACCTCTGACGATGTTTGATGCTCAAGGAGATGTCATGATGGGAGGAGGCGAGTATTACACTCACCCGGTCCGCATGACTATGGGAGATCATAAGGAGACACTCCGATGGGAAGTGGCTATTTTGGAAGAAGGAATGACCGGTTACCTGCCAATTAGTTGGGCTAGGAAGCATAACCCGGACATCAACTGGGAACTCAACACCATGAGCTGGAGGAGTAACTACTGCAAGCAGAATTGTCTCCCAGCGGCCACCAAGATTGAACTGATCTCTCCATACCAGATGCTGGAAGAGGAAGAGACAGTTTACCAATTGGTTGGTTCAGTATGGCATGATGAGGACGGAGGTGATATCGCTGAGAAGATACACCATCTTTACCGGGAATGGGCGGATGTGTTCAGTCAAGAGAAGATTGAGGAAATGCCGCCGCATTCTCATAATGATTTGAAGATCAAACTCTTGCCTGGCACCGCTCCCCCATTTGGCCCGCTATACCCATGTTCCGCTCCAGAGTTGAAGGCCCTCCGAGAGTACCTAGACAAAGAATTGTCTTCAGGAAAGATCTCTAGATCTAACAGCACTGCTGCGGCACCCATATTGTTCATTCCTAAGAAGGATGGTACATTGCGAATTTGTGTGGATTACAGAGGTTTGAACAAGGTCACTGTCAAGGACAAGTACCCGCTGCCTCTCATGAGTGAGCTCAGAGACAGGTTGTTCAAGGCCAAGATCTTCACAAAGATAGACCTGAAGAACGGCTTCAATTTGATCAGGATAGCAGAAGGTGATGAGTGGAAAACCGCTTTCAGAACCCGCTATGGACTGTATCAGTATAATGTGATGCCATTTGGTCTATGCAATGCTCCATCCGCTTTCCAGGCAATGATCAATGATGTGCTAAAGGAACTACTGGATGAAGGAGTAGTTGTCTATATTGATGACATCCTCATCTACTCGGAGACTGAGAAAGAGCATGAGCTATTGGTCAAGAAGGTACTACAGAAGCTTAGGGAAGCTAAGCTCTGTGCCTCGATCAGTAAGACATCCTTCCATGTCCGAGAAGTAGAATACCTAGGCTATCACATCTCGGAAGAAGGAGTATCTATGTCAGAAGACAAGGTGGAGGCAGTTAAGGAATGGCCGGTCCCTGAGAATATCAAGGCAGTACAGGCATTCCTCGGATTTGCAAACTTCTATCGCCGCTTTATTGAAGGCTTCAGTAAAGTTTGCAAACCATTAACTGACCTCCTGCAAAAAGACAAGAAATGGTATTGGACGGCAGCACATGAGCAGGCCTTTGAAGAATTCAAGAGGCTGTTCACAAGCGCTCCAATCCTCCTTCATTTTGACCCTAGTAGGAGAACGGTGGTCGAGACAGATGCCAGTGATTTTGTCAAGGGAGCGGTGCTCTCTCAGTATGGGGATGATGGGAAGCTACATCCGGTGGCATTCTATTCTAAGAAGTTCTCCCCTGCTGAGATCAACTATGACATTCATGATAAGGAAATGGGAGCTATTGTAGCCTCTTTCCGGGAATGGGAACACATGCTCAAATCTTGTGAGCAAGAGATCACGGTTTTCACAGACCACAAGAACTTGGAGTATTTTAATTCTACCAAGGTTCTCACTAGGCGGCAAGCTAGATGGTCTGAGGACCTCGCCGGCTACAATTTCAAAGTTGTCTACAGACCGGGAAAAAAGAATGGCAAGACTGATGTGCTATCTAGGCGCTGGGATCACCGCCTTGGAGAGGGAGGTGAAGCTCTGCAGCCGGAGCCACAGTTCTTTTTTAGGCCAGGTCAATTGGTTTTGGATCCTGTAAAGCTAGCGGCTGTCAGGGTGAATCAATTGCAGAATACATTCTTAGAGCGCCTATATGCGGCTGCTAAAGAGGATAGTTTCTGGCAGGAACTGCACTGCTCCCTGGTTGAAAGGAAACCAAATTTGGACCAGAACTTGTCGGTCAAGAACGGTCTCATCTTCTACAAGAATAGATGGTATATACCCAAAGACAAGAAGCTTCAGATGGAAATACTGTCCGATACCCATGACTCTAAGGTGGCTGGTCATTTTGGCCAATTTAAGACACTAGAGCGGGTGAAAAACAACTTCTTTTGGGCCAACATGGATAAGGATGTTGAGGAATATGTCCGGAGCTGTGATAGCTGCCAGAGGAATAAGACCTCAAGACACAAGAAGTTTGGTATGCTCCAACCGCTGGAGATACCCTATCGGCCATGGACTTCCATCTCTATGGACTTCATTGTGGGATTACCGGAATCTAGTGGGTTTACAAAGATCTGGGTAATAGTGGACAGTTTTTCGAAGATGGCACACTACATCCCTCTTCCTACCCTCAATAAAACGGAAGATTTGGCTAAGTTGTTCTTGAAGGAAGTTTGGAGACTCCATGGTTTACCCGATGACATAGTCTCGGATAGAGATAGCAGGTTCATCTCTCACTTTTGGCAATCTCTCATGAGTCTCCTCAATGTGAAGCTGAAGATGTCCACATCTTTCCACCCCCAAACGGACGGTCAAACAGAAAGAGTTAACCAGACCCTGGAACATTACTTGAGGAGTTATTGTTCATATCAACAGGATGACTGGGCAGAACTCTTGCCTTTGGCAGAGTATGCTTATAACTCGGCGGTCTCTGAGTCTACCAAAGTATCGGCTTTTTATGCCAACTATGGATATGAACCCAGGACCAACTGGCCGGCCCCAAAGAAAGGAGTAGAATGGAACAATCCAGCGAGCAAGGTCATGATATCTCAATGGGAATCTATCTGGCAGGCTATGAACGCCAGCTTGGGTAAAACTAGGTTAAGGATGGCCCGGTGGTATGATGCTCATGCCCTGGCACCGCCTGAAATCAAGCCCGGAGATGAAGTTATGTTGGACCGGCGCAATGTGCAAACAAAGCGGCCTTTGGGAAAATTGGATCAGAAGAAGATGGGACCCTTTAAGGTCTTAGAAGCTATTGGTACCCGTGCCTACAAGCTCTCTCTTCCCCCCCAAATGGGAATCCACCCGGTCTTTCATGTCTCTCTTCTGGAACCTTACCGAGCACCGGTAGATCCTGAGAGAAGAGTTCCTGTACCGGAGCCCGAAGAGATTGAAGGAGAACAGAACTGGGTTGTCCGAGAGGTAGCTGATAGCCGGGTCAATAAGAAAAGGAGACGAGTGGAATACCTAGTGCTGTGGGAAGGTTATGAAAACGAGGATGCTACATGGGAACCTTGGGAGCATCTCAAGAAGAGTGCCGAAGAAGCCCTTCGAGATTTCCACATGAGGTATCCTAAGAAACCCAAGGACAAGCGGCTTGTTGGGGTGTAGATTTTTCTTTTGGGTTTTCATTTCCTTGCATATCACGGAGTTTCTTGTCATATAGATTGAATGGTAATAGAATGGTTATAGATCTCGGAGACCAAGATCCTGGAAGAGGGGAGTGGTGTAACGGAGCCATTTCAACTGTCTGGTGTATGAGTACACACAGGGCCCGATTACATGCTGAGAGTTATTGTTAGAAGCCAGTGGCACGGTGATATGCAAGTACCGGCAGTGTGGTTAGCTACCAGCTGTTAGAGTAACTACATTCCGGGCGCTAGGAAGGGGATCTATTCATGGAAGCAATGACTGACGAGTCTATGCCTCGCCAGTGACTAGAAGACCGGCCAGAGTGAAGCTCTGATTGTCCAGTGATCCTCTGTATCCTCTGAGCATTGTATGACCGCCGAAGAGGCAGGGACTATGCTAGGGAAGTCTACAATAAGCGAAAGCTCTACAGCAATGATTAAGCTTACACCTGAGTGGTAGCTCATTCATGCAGGTCCTCGGTTGTGTGGCAACCAAGGCTGCAGGTGTTACAAAGGCTTTGACTAAGGGTGGTTGCCTTGGGTATCGGAAACACCTGCTGACGCTTAGAGAAAAGCGGGGTAGCGGTGGTATTGTTTCCGGTACTGAGGGAAGGCCCACCGGAAACTTAGTAAAGGAGTTAGGAGCAGAGAATAGAGGCCTTCGGAGTATAAGTACTTAGGTTCATTCTCGCCCTTCAGTCCTGTTCTCTCCAGTCTTCATCAGAAAGAAAACCAAGTTCTTATCGGTAGCAGAGCCCTTAAAGATTATTGAGTTCTAGCGATAGTATCTTTGAATAATCTGCAAC